TAAGTGCTTCCATCTCACAAGGTATGATCAGAAATTGGCTTTCATTTCATATGCTAAGCAGTGCTTTGCTAGTAATATTTGTATATGTTTATCCTTTACAAGTTAAATAATTAAAAAAAATATATGTCCTGCAAATTTCAGGCACAAATGGAACTACTTCATGAGAATTTTCATACTTCATACAATTGACAAAAACTATGAAAACTTCCAAACATACTAAAGCTCTTAGCTACTTAAGTTTAACAGATTTTCATCTTAACTTGTAGGAGGAACTGAATACAGCACTGACATCTTTACAAAACAAGCTCAAACATACAAAGAAAATGAAAGCAAAGTGTGATAAAACAGTTCAACACATCAAGGTGAGGATATCGAGAGTCAAACATTCAGAGAGTTTATGATGGACATTAATGGAGTGAGTGTTAATGCAGAGCTGACTGAAGTGAATGTGATGTGATTTCAGTCTCAAGCTGAGCACACAGAGCGTCAGATTAAAGAGGAGTTTGAGAAGCTTCATCAGTTTCTCAGAGATGAAGAAGAAGCTACAATCACTGCACTGAGGGAGGAAGAGGAGCAGAAGCAGCAGATGATGAAGGAGAAGCTGGAGGAGATGAACAGACACATCTCAGCTCTTTCACACACAATCAAAGACACGGAGGAGATGATGAAAGCCAGCGATGCCTGCTTTCTGAAGGTGACAACTGAATTTAGCTTCATTGTTTGTGCACAAAACAACTCACCAATTACCCAACCAGTGATTAAACTGTTTGATGAGATATTAAAATGTCTTTCAAACTCTATATTTTCCAGGACTTTAGCATCACGATGGAAAGGTAAGTTGAGCTGCTGGTGTTTCTTCTCTCAGTGGATCTGAACTCAAATCCACTGCAGTTCTGACTCCTGAATGTTCTTCCAGAGTCCAGATCTCACAGCCGGATCCACAGATCAGTTCTGGAGCTTTGATTCATGTGTCGCATTACTTGAGTGACCTGCGGTTCAGAGTCTGGAAGAAGATGCAGGAAACTCTCCAACACAGTGAGTCTCCAGACACGAGTACAAAATATTAGATAGTTAAGAAACAAAGACAGACAGATCAACATTTGATAGAAATGCATCTAATAATCACTTTAAGTTCTATGAATTTGAAGTGAATCTGAACTGTATTTCACAAGATCATCAAATCATACTGCAAACTCATAATGACTACAAAACACAGTCTATTCCTCATGGTGTTTGTTTATGTAAATAGGTTTGTATTTCTAATACCATCATATTTTATCCTCTAATCTGATTTCATTCTCTTTGCAGCTCCATTGACTCTAGATCCAAACACAGCACATCGTCAGCTCACACTCTCTTCTGATTTGACCAGTGTGTCGGACAGTGATTTACGTGAAAATTTTCCTGATAATCCAGAGAGGTTTGACAAGTATCCATGTGTTCTGGGTTCTGAGGGCTTTAACTCAGGAACACACTGCTGGGATGTGGAGGTTGGAGACAATACACTCTGGAGTGTTGGAATAACCACAGCATCAAACCAAAGGAAGGGAGACGTTTTCTTTAACACTAATGTTTGGCGTGTGCGGTACATAGACCGTAAATACAGCTCACAATCCTCAGATCAACCTTTGACTGTCTTCACAGTTAAAGAGAAGCTGCAGCGTGTGAGAGTTCAGCTGGACTGTGACAGAGGAAAGGTGTCCTTCTCTGATCCTCTAACTAACATCTGTCTCTGCTCATTCACAACAACCTTCACAGAGACTGTCTTTCCATTCTTATATAATCACTGCACAACTTCCCCTCTGAGGATCTTACCAGTTAAACTGATTGTAACAACAGAAAATCACAGTTAAATCTCATTCTGCTTTTAGATATATGAAGGTACAAAAATTTGTTGTTTTCATTTTTTTGCATTTTATTGTTCAGTATTGGATATTCTGTATTGGGGTAACTAATGGATATTAAACAACACATATTTGAATATATATGAAATTATATTTTTAGGTAAAAAACAAACAAACAAACAAACAGAAGTAGCAATAGATTTTCTTTCTGTGTATTGACCTGCCCTGCGCTACATTTTTTCATTGTATTATCGAAAAAGAAAAAATGTAAGGCAGGTCTTGGTTCTATTCATCCTTATTATAACTGTTTGATTACAGGAGTTGAACTCTGCACTAGACCTCCAGAACCTCAGGCAAATGCACTCTGTGTGTGTTACAAACTACTATGTGTAAAATTACAGTATATTAATAATTGCATTACATTTCTCTTGTATCAAACTGCACTCTCAGAAATTTCTTGTAAACAAACAGCACCATAGTGTTTTTCTACAGTGCATATGTACTATAAATGTTGTTGTTTGTTTATTTTGTAATGTTGTAAGTTTTGTTTTTATTTGTTGTGTTATGTAGCATTTGGACCAATCAGACACAACTTTTTGTTATATTTAACAAATAATATCTAACACCCCCTCACCTAACCAAAGGGCCAATTACGAGGGTCTATGGACCCTTCCCCCGAAATGCATCTAACACCTCAGAAAGGCAGAACAGGCCTCTGGTTCCATTGAATGCCTCACTTCTTTCTGGGACTTTTCCAAACTCCCTGAAAACTGCAGTTGTTAAACCCCTTCTGAAAAAGAGCAATCTTGATAACACCATGTAGCGTCTGGACCAACCAGACACACAATTTTTTAGTTATATTTAACAAATACTCTGTAACACCCCTCAGTCAACAAACCAACACGAGGGTCTATGGACCCTTCCCCCGAAATGCATCTAACACCTCAGAAAGGCAGATCAGGCCTCTGGTTCCATGGCAACCAATGCTGATATCACTGGTTTTATTACCTAAAGGAATGCGGGCAGAGCAACTGCATGTCTCCTAAGAAAAGACACATAATGCCCATAAAATGGACTCTTCTCTAATTAATTCATAGCAAAACCTTTCTTTGAATGAACACAAATATACTTCAGGTCATTGTGTATGTTGTTACTGTCCTTGTATATTGTCTTTTATATTGTATACTTTTTTATGCAGGCTAATGATGGAACCACTCGTTCATGTCATCTTACCTATATGTAATCCTACCATGTTTAGTATCTATGAATTCGTCTTCTGATGATCTAAACGAGAGTGATGTATATCTTTGTTCTTATTTTCTAATAACAAAGATAAAATAATGACAAAGATTTTTATCTTTGCTAACTTTGCCTAAATGTCTGCCATTGTTTTTTATTTTATATTTTGTTAAGTTGTAAGAGGTGTTATGTTTCTGCACTCTTCCATTTTTAGCAAATTAAGAAAACTTTGTTTAAAACAATTTTTGTGATGGTTTGTATTTTTTGTGCTCTGTATGGAACATCGGTGCCTGTTTAAGTGATGAACTCCATTACTTGTGTTTGTTTTCAGACATGATAACAGACATTTTATACTTGTGCTACAACTTTTTGGCCTGTGCTACAAAACTTTCAACCTCTGTAGCACCAGTGCTATGTGAAAAAAAAAGTTAACGTACAGCCCTGCATTAAGTATCATTTGCACCTTTTTACAAAGGTGTGTTTGAACAGACAAGACGTGCAAGTATCAAACTTAGTCTTATTAGTTGATACATTAAGTATCATTTGCACCTTTTTACAAAGGTGTGTTTGAACTAAGAAACTGATGTTTCCTTCAGGCTGTAGATCTGCTGAATATCAAATGGTACCATAGCTTCATGTTTTTATTTCTCTTCTTTTTACTGCCTAAGCTTTAACCCTTTTCCTATACCAACTGTATGCGTGTGTGTGTATGTTAGACTAGTTTAAGTGTTTATGTAGTTAATAAAGTCTTACTTGTATCACACTTGATGTTGTTCATTGTTTGCTCATAACTAGAGTCTCTAATCATGCAGATTTTTGCTACATGTTCTGATATTAATTATAACTAGTTACGATTAATTATTCATATTTCCCCTTTGAGCTGATTCGCTACAGAATTGGTGCAGAACGCGAGGCATGATAAAACGAAGTTTATGACCTTAAAACACTGTCAACCTAAAAGTGTGTGCTTGATAGTCCAGGTTAGAATAGGACGTGACTTGAGATATGCTTTTGTGTCCCTATTTGCTGGCTTGCTGGGGGTGTCGCTGTTGGACAGAGTTATTCCTGCTTCCTGTTTGCAGTGCTGCTGGTTTGTGATTGTAGCTCCATGTAGCTTTGTTTTTCTGTAAAATCTCTATCACTCTCTGTTGTTTAAAGTGAAAAAATATAACTTAATTCGCACCATATTTCTGATATTATCTATCAACCCAATCTGATTACTTTGATTGTTCGCTTTTATTCTAAAACCGCGAGTGCAGCACACCTGCAGCGCGTTAGCATTCGTTAGCTTGTCATTAATGTTTCCATTCGTGCCTATTGCTGTTTTCTTTTGGTAAGTAAGAATCATTCATCAATGACATTCATCACGGTGAGTAATGGCTTCTTCTCCTGCTATTATTGTTTGCACCGCTTGCCACATGTATAGTGTATCTCTCACTGTCGGCGACGAGGGATTCACATGTGATAAATGCAGGGAAATAGTTAGGCTGACAGAGAAGATTTCAGAATTAGAGACACGCATCCAAACTTTAATTGAGGACAGTAAGAATGTGGGGGCTCTAGATAAGGCTTTGGATGTGACTAGCTCAGGGAGTCCTGTACACTGTTCGGTTCCGGTAACAGAGCCTCCGCAGCAGGGCGATTGGGTGACTGTGAGGCGGCATAGTCGCGGGTCAAAACACCGCTCTACCATTCCGATCAAAACATCAAACAGGTTCTCCCCATTCAGTGACGCACCCACTGAGAAACCTGATCAAAGTGCTCTAGTTATTGGTGATTCTATTGTATGGAACGTGAAAATAGAGACACCAGCCACCATAGTCCAATGTCCAGGAGCCAAAGCGCCTGACATCTTGGCAAATTTAAAAGTGCTGGCTAATGCTAAACGAATTTTAAACAGGTTCTCCCCACTCAGTGACGCACCCGCTGAGAAACATGATCAAAGTGCTCTAATTATTGGCGATTCTATTGTACGGAACGTGAAAATAGAGACACCAGCCATTATAGTCCAATGTTTACCGGGAGCAGGAGTGCCTGACATCTTGGCAAATTTAAAAGTGCTGGCTAATGCTAAGCGTAAACTCAGTAAGATTGTTATTCACGTTGGCACTAATGATGTTCGACTTCGCCAGTCGGAGATCACTAAAAATAACATTAAAGAGGTGTGTGAACTTGCACGTACGATGTCAGACACTGTAATATGCTCTGGTCCTCTCCCTGCTTACCGTGGTGATGAGATACATAGCAGACTGTCGTCACTCAATGGCTGGATGTCTAAGTGGTGCCCGCA